TAAATTGTAATACTTTTAATTAACCAAAATTAAATTAAACTAAAATTTAAATCAAATTCACCACACATTTGTTCAAAGACAATGACTGAGATACTAACCGATATGGGCGAGGTTGTTGTAGCCGCTACAACAACAACGAGTTGCGCCCACGTAAAAAAAATCGTCCATACCAAATATATTATATAGGTTTTCACAAATCTGAGATTTCTTGCCCAGGGATCATACCAACAGAGTGTTGCAACGAGGCATTACTTGGATTAACCCAAAAATGTGCATAGTTCCAACCCAATTTTGTCAATTAACTAGTGCCCGGAAAATTTCATACGTTAGCTTTAAATTAAAGTTCAATCCTTTGACTACACGCGTATGTTAAAGCCAAATTATTGTACAAATAACTAAACCGCAGCCCTCGGAGAAGCAACGCGCTAATCTGCTAGTGCTCGGAAATTTCATACATTTGCTTTAAATTAAAGTTCAATCCTTTGACCACACGCGTATGTTAAAGCCGAATTATTGTACAAATAACTAAACCGCAGCCCTCGGAGAAGCAACGCGCTAATCTTGGTGTTTTGTTCTCGCAATTTTCGTTTCCATAAACTCACTAACTAAACTTAATAATAATAGATTGGCGCTTACACATATGTTAGTGTTTGGCCGAGCTTCTCCTCCGACTTGAGGCGTGCGCCTTGATGTCGCACAAAGCGGAGGGACCTACAGTTTTACGCCGACTCCGAACGGCGATTGTATTTTTATGAGAAGCTGTTTTTCATGGCAGAAATACACTCGGAGGTTTGCCTTTGCCTGCCGAGGGACGACCGCTGTTAAAAAAAAACTTTTTTCTATATGTTTTTGCGATGTTGCTTTGACCAGGGCTTGAACCCAGGTGCTGATGAGCGAAAGCGCGCACTGCTTACCACTACACCACAGCGGTCAATTAGTACCTATTTACATAATTTAATACTTACATTACACTGTGGAACCAATTCAGGTTAGCAAAAGTTAGGTTGATTCTGAGAGAGAGGGGTGAAAATAGAGGCTAAATTTGAAGACCCGTATCGCGGCGTTTCTTTATGTTAGTTCGAATTTTTTTT